GTAACGCTTTAATTATATTCTTGTATTTTAACATTGAAACAAAAAAATTATTTCAAGAGATGAATTAGTATAGTATCTTTCAAATAAAGATTTTTGTGATGAATAAAGTAAGAAAAATGTTGAAAATGCAGTGAACTCTTATGAAAAATGGAACTAGCTACTGGAAATGTGCATAATATAATGCGAAAAATTGGTTCCAATTCTGCCGTCAGACAAGGTTGAGCTCAAAATAATATATCACTTCGCTGACGTATGATTAATGTGTTAATTCGTTTTTTTCTTGTGCCATCACGTTTTTCTGTCATGATTGTTATTCAAAATCGAACATTCTCTACCATGAAAAAAATATTCGATGGTTCTATATTATATTATAACAATAAATGGAAAAAACTATAGATGTTTTTTTCCGATTTCTTACACCCTAAAAGACTCGAACAAATTGAACAATTCATTTTAACATAATTTATTTTATTTTTACATGATATAAATAAAAATTCAACAAAATTGTAATATTTTACACAAAAATAAAAAAGTACCATCTCGAATTGATGTACAATATTTTCAGGCTTTCAATAAACAATTATAATGATTATATCGGCCTAAACGGCACTATGTTGTGTTATATTATTAGGTATGACAAAATACGCTAAAATATGTTTTTTAACCAACGTCACAAGGTAATAATATTTTGAAGTTTCTTGTCGAGATTATTTTTTCACTACTATGAAACAAACTTTAATTGATTAAAAGTAGTAATAATAACACATGCTTAACATAAATTATTTCATAAAAATATTACCGTACTAAATCGTATGCGTATTAAAATCATATAATATGTATAGGTAATTAATGATAATAAATTAAACCCAGCCGTCAATGAATTATTTCTCCCTAATGTTATATATATATAAAAAAAAATATATTATATTTGTACATAATACTTACAATGGAAAGTAATTTTTACATTGTTTTCCACACAATCGAAAATTTAAAAAAAAAAAATTACATTATAATTATTTTATAAGATTATAACGTTATAATATAAATAAATTATAAAATAACACAATGTTTACATTAAATAGTTACATTGTACTTTTATCGTTTGAAAGTACATACACGGTTTCAAGTGGAGATGCATACGCTCATACTGTATCCAAAAAATATCGAAACACTATCTCAGAAGATGATTTGATTTAAGTAATTGTTTTTTTTTTTACTGTCGGTTTGTACAATTTTACTATTATAATAACTATAGTATTGTTGTATTTTTATAGAAGTGTTTCGTGTGCTATGTACAGATAAAATACATGTTAATGTATTGAAACTATAGTTTGATTAACTTTTTAAAGAAATCATTTGTTTTTTTTTTTTGTTAGAAAATCAATTAGGTTTTAGGAATTTATGAAGGTACTTCTAGAGCTGTATAAGTCCTCGTGAATTGTATTCATTATAAGTTAAATCATGGTATTAAGGTACTTGGCATTTTTCTAGATGCAAAAAAAAGTGTTTGACTGCATTGACCATGAAATATTACGGTCAAAATTAAAAAAAAAAAAAAAACGGTATTAGAAGTGATAGCAAAAATTTAATTAAAAGCTTTTTAACAAATCATCATCAACAAGTTTGAGTGAACAGTGTGTTTAGTTATAGTGTTTAGGCTTGTTATATTCCACAAGGTACAGTACTTGATCTGTTATTATTTATTATTTATATTAATAACTGACTTCTTTTTTAAGTGTTAAATTTTCTGTTCTGCTGATTATACTACACTTATAAGTTATAGTAGATGATCAAGATAAATTTAATTTAATCTTTAACAAAATTAATATAATATCAATTATTAACAAATAGTTTATTACAAACTATCTTGAAATAAATTTCAGTAAAAATTCTTGTATTTCTTATTTTATTTCTAAGGCCAATATAGTTAATGTTTATGGATGCATAAAAATACATAACTCAAATTGCTTAGGATATAAAGATACTAATAGTAGCTATAACTATATATATTAACAAGTAAAATCCAAAAATTCTATTAAATACCTTAGAAAAATTATTGATAGTTTCCTAAAATGATGTATTCACATGCACTTTTGAATTAAAAAAAATTAGTTGTACGTATAGTCACTTCAAATTACTTAATAGTTTCTTACTAACAAACATAGTGCGAATGGTTTTATGTGCTTAATCACAGTTTATTACTGTTTAGTACAGTTTATACTGTGAGTTTATTCTCACAGAATATCTACGTTACATAAAATACACTTAAAAATGTTAGAAACAACCATAAATTCTTTGTTAAGAATTGCATTTAATAAACCTTATAGAAAAAATACTAACATTATTTTTAAAAATCATAATTTAAGAACATTAAAACTATTTCGCGCAAAGGAAATTTCACTAAATTTATATCATTTGAGATGTAATAAAATTTATTTCATAATTATCATAATCTGCAAATTGAAAATAATGTTTTTAAATTAAGTACGTTTTGTACAGAATTTGAAAAAAGATATTTTTTTGTAATAATAGCATTGGATTGTGGTATTGATTAGATATCAAGTATCAATATCAGCAATTTTAATAATTTTAATAGTTACAAAAAATATATTAGTACTAAAGTTAAACTTTATCATTTTTTTTTTTTTTTAAGGATACTATTAATACATTTTTAGTCTGATTATAGTTTTATTTGGTTAATTGTATTTATATATAGACATTTTTATGTTTTTATACATTGTATATTTTTATATTTAACAGGTTTGAGTTATAATTTTGCGTAATTTTTATTTAAGTATAGAACTCTATGTCTCCTTCACAAGCTATGCTTTTTTTTTAAATTATTGTTATTTAAAAAATTGTTTTTGTATATATGTAAATGATTAATATTATTATTATTTAATTGTTGATATTGAGTCTGATTACCAGAAAAATGAATAACAATTCCACTTGGCGTCTTTAAACGGGAATTATGTTTCTTTTTTTAAACCGTTTTTGTCTGTGTGAATTTATCTAGATATCATTTAAATTTTTTTTTTAAACTATTTAAGATACAATTCATTGCAAAAAAATAACATAATATATTCAAAAAATGTTCACATGATGTTTTAAAGCCTTAATCAATCGATTCAATGTGTAATTAGTAATACATTTAATTTACAGCTAATGTATGTGATACGTGTTTTTATTTTTACCTTAATACTCGTATACATCAAGGGTGCCCAATATGAATAAGTTCGCGAGCCATATAGATAAATACAATGATACCAAGAGTCAATTTTTTTAAACACACATTTTATACAATTCGATATATTTTTATAAATTATACCTTAAAAATTAGAATTTATAATAAAAATTAAATTAAATTTAAATTTTATAAATAAGACGCAAGCCGTAACTGACAATTACGAAAGCCATGTATGGCTCGCGAACCGCAAGATGGCCATCCCTGCCATACATAATTTCTGTTGAAAATAAACTATTTATAAACAATTATTCTACAAATACATCAACTATTGGTAAATCTAATAATATTTTACTGTTAAACTTAATTTATCTAAGGGTTGTTCCCACTTTTTAACGCAACATACATTATTCATTAAATATGTTATATTGAAATGGAACATTAATAGAGAACTGACTAGACAATGCAATAGTAATATAATCATTTATACACACATACGCGAACATTTGTTTGATATTAAATATTATTTGAAATAATTTTTCATATGTTCTTCGAGGAAAGAAATTCAATGTTACCTCAAACACGTTCATACCAATAAAATAATTGCATTTTCGACAATGTTAAATGTTTAATTATTAAAAACAATAATAATAGCATTGCATTTTATTATTCGAATCCTGTGTCACGATCGATTGAAATATATAATGTGGAGTGTAATTTATTAGTCAGTGTAAAATATCTGTAGTTCATACAATAATAGTTGTGGGAACGTAGCATATATGTACAAACCACAATTAACAATAACTTAAATTACAAACCAAAAACATTTTGATCGAGTCAATTTTAGTGAATACAATATTTTTGAGATATATACTAGATTGTTTAAGTACAGAAAATGGGTATAGAATTCTTGTAAAGTAAATGTATTTTATGAATCCAAAATTGATTAATCCTGTTTGAATGCAGATATTATAATAATATAGAAACCCTTTGAAAAATGTTCAGAAAACAAACTATATATATTTTTTTGGTATGTAGTGTAGAATATTATTGTTAGCCACCAGTCAAAAACTTTTATTGAAACAATACAATTTCGCAGTCTTTTATGATGAAACTAAAAACATAATATTAATACTATTATAATGTACAGCCTTACCGTTATGCTTATGGTTAATAACAGTACAAACTTTTAAGTTATGATATAGTTTCTAACGAACTTAAAATTAAATATTTTAACGAAAATGTTTTTGATTCTGTGTAAATTGATTAATATATGATTATTTAAAACTGTTGTTTCATTTTTTCATTAACTTGCCATACTTAGTGGCTATTATTCCTGTGACAATATTAAAATAGAAATGTGATATGATTACGTACGTATATATAGTATATAAACATTATTAAATAATATATTAGTATATTACTCATGATATCATTGATTGATAAAAAGAAAAATAATTTCTTTTTACTTTATTCAAATTTATTAACATTTTTTCGGAATTTATTAAAATGAATAGTTATTCACAAAAGTTTTATAAACATGAATATTAATAATTTTTTACATTTTTTACATTCAACAACACGAAAATATTAAATTCAACAAAATTTAAAAGCTATATCTCATACTGGCCTTTATGAAATAGAATGTTTATAAAATGTACACAAAAAACTGATAATAATTATTTCTTCTCTTTTCTATAATATTAATTATCCTTAGACATTATTAGTATATGATAGCAAAATTATTATAATATATTTAATCGTAACCATTGTATTATTTACATTGAAGACAAAATATATAATTATTATTAGTATGATGGAAAATTTTAATATAATAATATTATATTTTTTATAATAGTAGTTAAAACCCACTAAATTCCAGTCCATTTTAGCTTAACATTTGCAAAAACATATAGATTATTGTAAACATAGCACAATTGGAGATGGCGAATGACCCCGAAGTCGAGCTACGGACCCCGTGTTGCATGGCCGCCGGTACTTCAGCTAAGAAAACATAAAACAAGTGTGTACAAATATGTAACATTATAACACAATATTATGCATATTTAAATTCGTAAATATTTCATTTTATTATTACATATTTTTATACCGAATAAGAGCGTCGAACAACGTTTATGAATAAACGTCATTATTATAATGTGCTGTTCGACACCTCTCTTAATTCGTTTAAACTTAATTTTAGCCCAACATGCAATGTGGTTACTAAATCGCTCCATAATGTTTTAAATCAACGATTTTTTCTTACATAGTATATAATTATTGTTTTTCTGCCAACAAACAACTATAAAATTTCATTAACGAATGAATAAAATTCATTATTTTTAAGACCTTATAATTTTCTATAGATTTTATACATAACACATTATTTTGCAGATCTATAGTTTTTTTTTTATGCAATTTTAACTTTAACGGTTTTAAATATTAGTAAAATATTTAATCTCAAATTTAATTTTTTAAATAAAACTTTAAGCAATGGCTTTTCAATACAAAGAAATATTAATATGTGATATTACTAAAAACCTTTTGAAAAATGTATCAATCAAATAATCAAATTAATACATGACACACTGATAAATATTTTGTACAAATTCTGAATATACTAGTAAATATTTTTTATTGTATGAGGTTTATATTTTTTTTTATGCAGATTTTAGTTTTATTCGTTACACTTAAGTTGTATTTCTTACATAACACCTCACTTAATACAATTAATTGATTACAACATAATAATTGTGCACGCAAATTCAAAGCTTGAATAAATTATCAGACTGTATGCTATAATTATGAAGCTTAATGTTTTAATATTAGGTACCTCTACGTTTGCGTTGAATGCGACAACGTTTTGACATTAATTTCAACTTGCGATCCATTTTAAATAGTGATAATTTATTTTTTGCAAGCTATATATTATAATTAAAAATTTCTCATTGGCAACTAATACTATTTTACGTAAATGGGTAAAAACTGAACAATTTTTAATTGATTTAATTCAATTGTATTATTATAATTTTATTCTATTCGCTTTTAATAATTGAATTAAATTCATTTTTACTAGATTTTTGTTTAATTATTAGACGCATATCAGGAAATTATTTTTTAATATCCTGTTATAGAAAAATACCTAAAAATGGTTTTTATTTAAGTTTATTATACTTAATTCGTTATACACACACCTCATACAACTTTTATTGTTGTATAAAGTATGTTTTATAGGTCTTCAAAATAAAATATTAAAACCATATTATTATTAAGTTTCTATATACATTCTTACAATTTATTTTCTCTATAAATAAAAATGTCTTAAAATCAAATTGCGTGATAGATGTTTGAATTCAGACATCATATTATTTCTACTTAAATTAAATTGCACAACGCGAATTACTTGTCGAGGATTTAAAAAAAAATAGTAATGGATAAATCGTGTAATCTAAGTTTCTAGTTATTGCTATTCGGTCGAGCTGAAAATTGAACGCAGTTGATCCACCGGATCAACTGAATATTTCCACGCCAAAAAATTCTTACCAAAAATATCTTTAGTTGTATATGTATATTTATTTATTTGCTTAGCTTTTTTCATTACCCTAAAACATGTACTGATTATACAAAATGGAAATACGAAAATAAACCAATAAATTCTAATACAAACAATTGTACCTGTATAGTAGGTATTCATTAAAAAAAAAATAAATACCCAAACACTTAGTTCCAAATAAAATTAATTATCGTTACATTTTTGTGATCACTGTTTATTGAAGAATTAAAATACGACTAAATTATTGATTTATAACATTAAAAAACAATTATCGTAATAATACATCAATCTTAATAAAATCACGCAAATACCAAAATGTATTTAAAATGAATCTCAGTAATTGACAATTAAATATAAATTATTGTTGAAAATTAAAATAAAACTAATAAATATACCTACTATTTTATATTGATTAAGACATTACTAGCTAAAGTAAAAATAGTATTAGTGTATTTTATAAACAATGTATTGTTCAAATTTTTTAATAATTTAGTGTTTTATTTGTTATGACGTTTACTAAATTAACTTGCAGTTTTTATAATAAATAAATAGGTATTAAAATTTATTCGTAGAAACTTAAAATTAATTGTAAACTGCAACTTCGAAGAATACAAGTACTAGGTTCTTAGAAATAAATAACAGCTGGGTAGAAAAATTAATTTTGATAGTATATATTTTAGCATATTTATTTCAATATTATATTAATTTAATTTTTGTTTGTAATATTACTATTTTTTCATAGAATAAAATAACTACTATACATTTTAATTAAACTATCGAATAAAATCGATGCATTAAAGATATTAAATTATATCCAAAATACGATTGTTATCTGTATAATATGGTTTTATGAGCATGGTGTCAGGATTATCAAAAATTTGTGAAAGTGTCAATACAGAGCTCGTTCAGCATAAATATACATTTATTTTTGTACATGTTTTGTCGTAATTCTCTGCAGTAGCGTATTTGAATGTCAATCAACTTGTGAGGGGGCGGGGAAGCTTACAACTTTTAAATAACACTTGATACGGATTGCTCCTTTCCAATCTATACACTAATGAAGTGATTCTTTGAGTTTTTTTTTTATTTTATCAGTGATATTAATTTTTTACAATAATATGAATCAGATTAATTTAACGATTTCGCATCAAACGAATAACCCAAAGCTCAACTCCCAAAAGTGAAAAGGTATATTTATTTACCCATATTCACATGAAATATGCCACTGATATCCACATCCAAAGGGCTTCATTCCGCTATAGTTATTTACGTTTACATAGTATAATTCATAATATTATATACTAACATTGAAGCACGTGCACGTGAATCGTAGCCGGCGGTATGTTTTGTGGTTGACATGTATAATTGCCGCTGTCCGACGTATTTGTGTACGGCATAATCAGGTCGCTTTCCGTGCTATTTATGTGCACGATCAGACCCCGATCCGTGTCAAAATTGATCATCCGATCGGAATGGTACCAGAACACGAATAGCGGGGCTTGCGTTGACCCCTGTAGCCGGCACACCAGTCTTAAGCTGCTGCCACTCATGATGTACAGGTCCGGTGAGCCGAGGATTTCCGCTCTGGCCTCTAACAGGATATAATTGAAAAAATAAAAATAAAAATTAAAAACGGTTGTGTGGCGTAAAATAGCATTTTTTGTGAATGCAGAAAATTCAGAGATTAAAAAAGCAACCTCACGTTCTTAAAACCACAGAGCATTTTGCCAACCCAACTCACTACCTTTTATCTTTTAATAATACACATCTACATTCAAATTGTTATTTTCAGAATGTTTAAATGCCCTTAAAAATCTTATTTTTAAATAGATGCATACATTTTTTTTATCGAAGAGTTGATTTTTCATATGAATACCGTCCTTTGTAATTGTAAGTTACCTATTAAATACATGGTTTTTTTTTTTTTTTTTGTAAATATTGAAAAATCTAAATTTAAATCTAAACCAGTAGTTTCCGAGTAATTAAAGTTTGCATACTTCGGTTTAAAGACCTTAACAAGTCGACTACCCTACACTGATACTATTATGAATGACTATTAAATATTATGTATGCACTTAGTATTTTTAATGAACCCAGGCTGTGTATTTTTTTTATTAGATTTTAGAAGAGCTTTTAGCTTAGAACATTCATCAGATATAAATAAATAAATAATCTCAAAAAATATTAGTATTAAATAATATGATAGTCAAGACAAAATTTGCTAGTCTAAATAAAATATGAAGGGCAAGAATAAAAATGTTGATATGTATTACATATGATACAGAAGTCAGTCGACTAGTTAAAATATTGAAACCATATAAAATATAAAATATATTTAGTATTTACTATTGAGTATAGAATGTATTACATTTAGATAACTACGTAATTATTAATTTGAATTAATTGTTTTTATTATTTTGATAAGTTTTGATTCAAAATTTCTCGTCTTTGGTAAAATTCAATCTCTTTGTGAATTTACAAAATAAATATGCATGTCGTATAATTTACTTCTGTTTCTATAAATTTTATAAATTTTTATGTTTTTTTTTAGATAATTTTTACTTTGATTATCGTTGAACCATTAGATTATGATTTTTATTATACGTTATTATCTATAAGTTAAAAGACCAACTGAAACTATTATTATTTGTTTTTGAACTCGATATTCGCGATATTTTTGGACGCATTTACTTATTTTACAGGTAAAGAAACGTCAGTTTACGAAATGTGTGAACTTAAAATAATAGATTATGGAAGCCATTTTATCGTAAAAATTGAAAGAGAGAACGCTTGAATAGTTTTATTCGTAACAGTGCACAATAATTTTAAATTAAACTATAAATCGATGTATGCATTGTCAAATATCATGACATTTGAATCAATGTCTGCAGTTCATGTTTATGTAAGTAAAATTTGAAGAAAACAGTGCATGGCGTCGTATATGTATTTTGCTTTCGCCTTAAAATTTGATAGAACGACATGTCTTTTGCACGATCTTTGAGAATTTCATATTATCCATCAATGTCAACGCGAACTTACGAAAAGTCGTCAAAGTTTATTTTTTTTATTGCAGTGTCATTTTAAATATATGAAATAGATGGCTTAGACATAAAAACAGTCAACAAAATTAGGCCAGGGTTACTCAAAATTACTGACTTCTATATACAAAAATATTTTTATTTCAGATATATGTTTTGAATAACCTTTAATATTAATTTTATTATAAACGCTATTTTTTTTTTTTTTGCAAATATACCATAATACGATAAATTGTTTTAAATCAATTAAATATTCCTCGTTGATGTTTACTTATATACTAAAATTCTAATTACAACTACTAACCTGTGACTTTTAAATGTACGAAATTGCTAGTCGTCGGATGTGTGGCTATACGACATTCGTACAAACCCGCGTCTGATGCTTCCACTGGTGTTATTTCTAAATTCCATGTCTAAAAAATTTAAATAAATCATATTTGCTTATAATCATCTCAATATAAAAAGTTATAACACGTTTTGTTTTTTTATGAAAAAACTTAAATATTAATATAGTTATACAATTTAGGAGTTTGGATATGTTGATGTAGTAACAACAACAAATGCAATATTTAAGTAGAAAACAACTAGTACATAATATAATAATACATTGTATGAATTTCCCACGAACATTACTCAAAATATTTTTTATAATTTTTAACAATTAAATAATATTCTTATCACAAGTTTAATATTGAATTAACATGGCGTTAATATTAATGGGAGGAACATTTTGCAATTAGTTTCGATGAGTTATAAGACGTTACAAAATTGAATATTGAGAGATTGAAGAAATATTTAGCATATTTCAATTATAAATAATGAAATATTCATTATATAATACCGATTACCGGATTAAAACGATTAATGCAATAATTAATATTACGTGAATATAGGTGTGATTTAATATTCTGTTTCCAAATTTTAATTTTCGTAACGATAATTATATCAATTTTACACTTATACATAAATACCGAAATATAAAAGCCATAATTAGACATAAATTAATTACAAAAATTTATTTTGTTATTAAAAAAATATGTTGGATTTAAAAATGTAGATATTAACTTAAAACTAATATTATTTTAATTATTATTTATGTTTAATGTTCGTGTTCAGAATTAAATTAGTTTTCGTTAACAATATAAAATAAATAACTTGTCATAAATTTAAAAAAAAAAAAATTTTATTGTAAAACGTTTTTTTAGAGAGTTTCAGAGATTGAAGAACGATTTGATTTTACAATATTGTTATAATTCTCTCGGAAACATATTTTGGTGTAATAAAAATATATTATAATAAGTATTATTATGAGCATACAAATTTTTATTTTTTAAATTTCAATATGTATTGGCTATGGCTAGTCATTGTTTAAAATTTTCTACTCCAAATTGTAAGTTCTAATTAAAATATTAATAACTTTATAGAATAAAATATTATAAGTTTATTAGTTTTAGTCATTCCTTTATAAAATCATTAATTACCTTTTTAATTAAATTAATGCTTACAATTCTATACAACAATAATATGAACATCGCAATTCAAAATATAAATACTTCTATGTATACATTATATTTACGAGAAAAGTCATGTTACACGTTGGTAGTTATTTATAATTATTCGAAATGGGAATTCCTTTAACTTAACTCAGACTCACTCTCATTGAAATTGTGTTAATCATATTACGAATACGAATATAATAAAATGAAACACACCATCGTATTGTTATAAAATATTATAATTAAATATAAAATTTAAAATTTACAGCACAATCCATCATCAAATGTAATCCAAAAATAAATTAATTGTAAAACGTGCTGAACATTACACTTGCAGACGATATCAAACGTTGACATAATATATATAATCGTAATAGTTATATAATATTATATATATTAATAATTTTTAATTTCTCTTTTAAATGTATAATTCTACTATCAAGCATATCGATATCATACTATATTAAATCATTTAAGTACTCATGTGTATGAAAATTATATGAAATGATTTAACATATTAAACTTTGTTTTGATAATAACTTATTTCTTTTGAGAAGTAATTGATTAATTTTATAAGATCAATTGTTGCAATACTATCAAAATAAACAAACAATATTATTATGTTTTGGAAGATGAACTTTAAACAGACCAATTTTTTTTTTCATTTTGTGAATAAAATAAAAGTAAAAATAATTTATTGTTTTTACATTATATTATATTATTGTAATGAACATGTATAAAGAAGTATAATATTATAATTTATTATCATATATATATACACATCATCTATTCTAATATTCTATTGCAAATAACATTCATTCAAACAACTCCAGCTGAATTTATTATTGTATTACGTTAACCATATGAAAATAGAAAAGATGAATAAATTCACGTATAATGGTGATTAATAATAATAATAGTAATAATTAATTTTAGTTGTTTAATAAAATTATGTATAATATGCTGAAACAATATATGTTATAAATTGACTTTATAGTTTATACCTATATCCAGCAAAAATTATAAATTCAATTTGAAAATATCAATATAATATGTATATTGTGTGCGCATAATATTATGAATTAAATAGGTAACTAAAAATAAATTGGTTGTTTAATTTTTTTTTTTTCATTTGAATGGAGAGTCATAAAAATACAGATTATAATCTTGAATAATAATTAATTATAATTGATAAAAAAAATTCAACAGTGAACTTTTTTACATACACAAAATACAATTTTGAAAAATATCAACTAATAGCTTAATAAAAATATATTTATAATACATTTTTATTATCGATTTAAAAAAATCAATATTTTATTATATAGCTTATTCGTTTATCTATATAATAATTATTAATTATAATATTGGTTTTTATATGATATTTTCAATTAGTTTGAATTAAACTTGATATGCCATTTTTAGTAAATCAATATAGAAATTAACACTAAAAAAATAAAATAATATATATGATATTCTTTTCCAAATAATACTAGGGTATTTGTGAATATTTTAAAAATTAAATAAAAAACAATAATTTGTTAATAATAATATGGTTTTAACAATCATCACTCTTACACTTTCGTACGTTATTTGATTTTTCCTTTCAACGTTATCATATTTTTAGACCTTATTTTAATTGTTCGTATTAAGTTGAACGTTCAAAAAAAAAAAAAAAAAAATAATAAAATAAAACTATAAACTCAAATGAAATGTAATATAAATATTGTAATTAATTTAATTACAAAAATACGTTAAGTACATATTAAAAATATTTTAATATTTATAAAAAAAAACTACAATACAATATTTTATAAAATATAAAATAAATTTTAACATGAATCAACAAGCTTTAAATTGTTAATACAATAATATAAATAATATAAAAGGTTAAAAAAATTAATACAGTTTGAATTTTTTCATTGATGATAAATGCCATTGGTAAAAACTTAAACTTTTTTTTTATTAAGGTATTTTTAATGATTTATTTAAGTTTCACATCATACATTTTTTGTTTGTTATTGATCTTAACATTGTTCAATGATATCATAATGATTTAATTGATATTAGAATTTTTGTTTTCGCTCATTTTTCAACATAAAATTATGCAATTATTGAGGCTTAGGTTTTGTCCAGTGATTAATTACAGTTTTTGAATAGGTTAATATCTTTTTAAAGTTTTTAAATATTTACCTGTACAATCATTCTTATTTAGCCTATAATTTATTCAAGCAAATTAAATTAAATTTAAAAATGATGATGAATTGAGTATAGTGTATTGTGGTACTAAAGTAATAAAACCACAACAATGAGTTTTACCATAAAATGAACATTAACGTTTACTTTATTTTATTTTTATTTAAATTTTGATTAAATTTTTTTAATGAAACAAACTCAATTATGTATCAACTATCATCTATTTTGATACAGAGCAGTAAGTATTAAGTAGTCAATATAGTTATACAATGTATACCTATTGTTTAAGAACAGTTTTGGATAAAACTAATTAATTTTAAATTATATTAATTAGGTATGTGAATATTTTATTTTCTGAAATGTCAAACTTAAATAATTTATAGTATACTTTTTGTTTACTTGAATATATAAAATTAACCAAAGGTGAGCTTATAATCTTATTTTAATTCTTTAAAGTGTATGTTTAAAATATTGATTATTAATTATTATTAATAACAGTTAGATATTACACTTAGAAAAGGGAAAGTTGCGGCTATACTTAACAGTTGATTTTGAGCGTATTTCGTCATTGAGTAGGCTCTGTAATGAAAGTTATATTATTTATAATTATTTAGTTATATAATTCGATGATAAATCATTTTATACACTGAAAAACGATTTTGAGCTATGAAAGTCTACATTTTTAGTAACCAAAATTATCAAAATATCATATTAACGAATTTAATGTTCTAATATTCTTGATTTATTTTACTTCTCCTGATTACTTAGAAAGTACTCAATATTTTCAATTTTTATGTCCAAAAAATACTAACTAGATCCGATTTTTTTAACTGAAATCTCCATCAAAACAAATGATCATAAACATTTTCTATTAATAATAGTATCTTCAGAAACTTCGACACAATAATAAAATAAATACAATTAAAAAAATGCGATATGATAGTTCCATTCAGAATCTAAAAAAAATTGTTTAACTTAAATATACTATACAAGTCTATTTTTAAAGATTTACAGTTATTTTATCAATTGGTTAATCTAATAATCAATATTTTATATTTTATATTATCTTATGTTTTAGAATTAAAATTACTATTTCCGTAAAAGATAAAGTTATTTCCGCAGATGTTGTTTCTTACAAACACACTGCATAGAAAATTTTATGCGTCCTAAATAATCTATTTAATTTTACTGTTAGAAATTTAAGAGCGAATTGATTTATATTTATGAAACTTAAATGTAAGACTATTAAATATGTTCATTCATTCTAAGTATGTTTATTTTGCATTTAAATTTAGATATAACGCATTTTAAATCTAAAGTTTGTACTTTAGAAGAAGAAATTTCTCAGTAGTTCTAAAAATAATTAGAAAATACGGACTTTGTAAAAATCGTTCAATAAGCTTGGTTAGTTATGAACAAAAAATCTAACCATGTACATCTCTGTTCAGAATTATTTTTATCTTATACAAGATTTATTATTGTATTCAAATTTAATACTTCCATATAGATTAAATAACACAATATACTCGTATATAATATTTAAAATTTTATTTTATTGACCGAGTATATCAACCAAATATAAGTCATTTTTCTCACCTAATATTTTAATGCCCTTAAGAAATTCTATGATTGAAGATATATTCCACTCTTAATTTAAAGTTTTGTCTAATATGGGTAAGCATCAATTTCAATATTTGTATTCATTATTATTATTATACTAGGTATCTCTCTCACTATCTATCTATGTGTATTATTAAATTATGTATTTATTTGTGTACATAAACCTTAATCTATCTTTTTTTTAAATTATCAAAGGAAGTATATAATTCTCTTATACATTTAATATGTAAATTGAATTCTTTTTTTCTGTTATAAACAATATTATTATTTAGTTACCATTATGGGTAGAACACGATTGCATATGTTTGTAGATGGGTTGTCAAATAATGTCAAATTTAATAATTTTAGCATATATTTAATAAATATCTAGTAAAATATGTATACTTCTATAACAATCAATATAAAATAACAAAATATACCTAATGGGATAACTACTAAATAATAGTAAAATTATGAATAAATAAATAAAATCGTCAATAAATTATTTAAAAAAGTTTAACATTTTGCATTTTGTACACAATAGTGTAGAAAAAACAACAGGTAAATTCGTACGCAATCGTGTACCTTTAAGAGGTATCACTGATAAAGAACGTACGCAATCGTGTTTTACTCACCATTACTGAACATAATAGATACCTATTATATACAAAACTATTCAACTATAAAATTAAAGTTTTTTTTTTCTCTAAAAGGTAGAGTTTGCACTTTATTAAAGTCTCTAATGGAGCTATTGTCATTATTTCTACTGATTACTTAAACTGATTCGTTTAATCCTTTTTTCTCCCTCATTTGGCTTTAGTTCTATTGTCAATGAGCCAAAGTGGGGTGGGCGCATTTAGTTTTCTACGTGTATTGACATATTTACTGCTATTCGGGGTGTTGATTGTAAAAGTGCTTTATCTTTAATTGTACTGAGGAATTTTCTACAATTTAAACTGATGTCTGAAAAATGTTAAAACGTTCCAAAATGACGGAAAAACCAAACATTTGTAAAGTTATGGACGTACATTTTATGCATGTGAAATAATTTATTCACTAATATACCTAACAATATTAGCAACGCGTGGCTCGGACATTTTATACTGAATTATTATGTTAGTTTTAGTCATTGAGTTATTAAGGTTTATTTTCACTTCACCGTATACAGTTTCGTACATTGTAATTTAATATTACGTATATTTATACAGTATATATAATTTAGAAAATAAATCTTATAATTGTATTTTGTCTTACTAGTAATTTGAGTATAATATTTTGTACGATCGTTTTTTGTTTAACTCTAAGTATAATATATTGTAAGCTTTGTTAAACTAAAATTAAATTTATAAATGGCTTACCTTTAAATGTCTAGTGTGGTCAACGTAAAACCTTTTGTCACTGCTATAACTTCTCGACCCTATTGTTAAAATTGTATAGTCTATCCTTCTGACCCAAGACACCTGTGAGCAAACAAATAAAAACACCGTATAATATATGTGTAATATATTTTATCATATTTCATAATTTTTAATTAAATACAAATCATATTTATAATAATATTTTTCATTAATATTATTTTACAGATTATACTTTTACTACGATGCAAAAACTTTTCGTATTTGGCAATTGGTATCATACCCCCTCGAATTGATTTAGTACTTAGTAGTGATATCACGTTATACAAACTCATCACAACTAAAATATTTACTTATCGTAAGTAAAATATCCGACAGCGTGGTTAGGTTTAATGTTTGTCACACATAAACCATGTAACGGAATTACAAAATGAATATTTTATAAACTATATTTCGTATTGTTATTATTATTGTATTTTATTGACATGTATTGTATATTTTTTAAAAACATAACACACGACCATGTCATTGAATATATTTGATACATTACTGTTATTTTTTAGCTTGACGTATGCGAATGAAAAACTCTGTTGTTTCAATAGCAACAACGTTTTATTTCATTTTTCCTCATCATATATAATTTTTGTATTATATTATTATTATTATATCTAACAAAACTACCAAACCGAATATTAGTGTAATTTTATCAACAAAATTGATTCAATTTTATCATAAACAGAGGGGTTTCTATAATTTAAATAACTATTATTTAAACAAGTATAAAATTTATTCAAAATTGCCCTTTTAAATTTAAGGTACTTGCATAACATATTCTATAGAATTTCATAATATTACTATGTATAAGAGAAACCATTCTTTCGTTTTCATAAGGTAATATAATACGTTAAAAAATGCAAAACATTTTTCTATGAATTTCGACGTTGGAATTTTCGGTACTTGAAAGATGATGATTTAGTATATTCATTAAACAAGACTAAAACCATCTATTTATGATTTTTTTTTTTTAACTAAAAGCGTGAAATCATTATAGAAGATATACTATGGAAAATAATCATTTTATTTATAAAATAATAGTAAGAATATAATAAAATTAAATAATCCTATTTAGTATGTATGAAAATAGTTGTTAACTTCATTTCCAATTGATATTTTTTGCAAACATATTATTGTAAATTAAACAAAGAAAATATAAGCCATACAACTCATAAAAAATATAGTTTTATTGTTATGAAAATATAAATATCAATTTAAATATATATTTTTAATATAGGTATCGAGCTTACAAGTATATTATGATAAAAAAGTAAACAGTTTAAGTAAAAATAAATTGTAAATATTCATAAGAAAAATAACAATATGGATAATGATAGAACATAAAAGATCTATATTAAATTTAGAATAGCGTAAGTTGGCTGTTGAAAAATCGTTTTATATACTGTTATTGTAAACAATTTAAGCTTAAATATTGTTCTCAATAATGAAAAAAAAAAAAAAAAAAAACAAATAATTTATCTATTTAACATCAGAAAAGTGGTGAAAATTGGTTAATATTTTTTATCAAAACGTATTTTTTGATGAACGAAATTGTACGACTTGTTATTTTATACTTAGATAATATAATATTTACAAACTTTGTTATAATATTATTATTTTTTTAAAATATATTTCGTAGTAGAAGTAAAAATTGTATAGAAATATTTAAACGTTTGATTTTTAGTAGATCATAGCGCCGTTATAAATTATCAACACTATAAACCGTCGACGATGGATTTCCCAAGCAAGACCATTCATTATAACTAGACACAATATATTATACACGTCTGTGGACGAATTGAGATTTGTCAATCGACGGAATACGTACCGAAAACGAGTAGACTGCGCACGGTTTTGCGTACATTATTGTGCGCTACACAAGAACATACGGCAGTTAAGTCCTTGAAGTCCACTCGTGTACGGTTTTTGGCAATCGTTCATACCACCATATTATACCGAGACGAAAACACGGTCTTAATATTAGGTCAACGTTTGTTTTTTCTCTCCCCCGTCGGCGCGCGTACAGCCTATACGTGTTTTGCAATGGTATGCAAATTTAATAGCAGTTATATAACATGCCCGGGGATGGAATTTATAAATGTACGTACGCACACACGACGCGACTGGCCGCGATTCGCGTAGAAAACATAGAGAATTACAGACAGAGAAATCGTAAATATAGACAAAATAGCGAGAGGAAGAGAGAGACAGATAGACAGACGGAGATAATGGTGGTAGTCGGAGGGAGTGAACGGTCGGGAATTATACAGCGTCGGCCATACTGTAATACCGCAATTCCCCGCCGTTCGTCAGTCTTCGAAACGCGTACAAGACGTAACCCTCCCCCCCACAAAAAGCTCTACGGATGCGTACCCCGCTAAGTCTACGCTCGCCATCGGTATTCGATTGTATTCGTTGATGTCGCTGTTTTTGTTGTTGTTGTTGTTCACATTGTTATTGTTTCACCCCACTTACCACCCCTATTGGTAAAATAGTCTTCCACTAGTTGGACGCACGTCTCAGCATATTCCCGTTGGTATCGTGAGACACTACGCCGACACGCTCGATAAACGGACAACGCGAACTCAAAGCGATAGGCGATACGAAACACGAACTGACATCGGAGTTCCTCCTCCCCAAACAGAAAATCCGTCGAGTCATCAGAATAGGATCGTTAATTTGATCTCATCCGATTTCGTGAAGACGCGTCAATTGTGCCGTTCATCGGATAACGAATTTAAGATATCGTCCTCCGCCGCATGTTTATACGGCGTATAAACAACAAATAGTATATAGGTATATTTATGATGACTTCGTGCTTTACAGTATAACGACGTTTGTCGATTGCTGAAAATATCTGTATCTAGTACTTAGATTAGGTACTCTCAAAACCGTTTCACGGTTTATGATGGACTGAATGTAAAAAATTGTAGATACAAAATCTATTGGCCACACTATCCGATAGACTTTTTTCGATTCTTATCGGAGCAAAAGTATTATAATTTATATTTCTTGATAGTTATTTTTTATTTGCGTTTCGTCGAATTTCGGAACACTTAAAATATTTCAGTCTTCGACTTTGAGAAAAACGGTTCTGGTTTTCTAGTTGAATTAAAATATTACAAAATAATCAAATACATTAATATGGTCAAATAAAATTAAATATTATTAATTATAATGAAAATAACTGATAGCGCTATTACCTATAATATATTTCAACCATAGTACTTTAGTAATATATACCTACTCAATCGAATTAATAGAGACAGTAGCTAAAAAAAAATATATATTATCTGCTATTATACGTATAGTAACTTTTTTATAGTAGAAATTTTTTTACGTTAATTGAAAAAGTATAGGTTTTGATAATAAACTGGGTGATAAACTTGTTACAAAAATTCCATTTATATATGTAATACAGTTATTGATTTTTTTTCTCCTAAAACGTGGTATTTAATTATTTATTCTTCTTCAAAGATGTAAGATTTTTCATACTTTAATGCGTTTAGAGTTTAGATTTTACAA